CCCTGTCACAGTGCGCTCCAGGGAGCCTACAGGAACACATATTACTGTGGTTCCTTCACTGCTAAGAAATAAAGCGACGCACAATTTGCAAATACTAAATGATGCTGTCCCTTAAATCTAACTCTTAATACTATATTAAAATATACTATACTAAAATGAATGCTATGGTAATGTTTATCATGAGATTTAGCTTAACTGTTAGGAAACTCGCAGGTATGTCATATTCTCTCCCTGCTGCGTGCTGTGAGACCCGGAGAGTTATAGCCCAGTCTTCCGTTTCTCTCTCCAAGCTTTACCTATGGTCGAGGGGAGCAAATGCGATGGGGGCGCTGGATGACGGTGAATAAGCAATAATGTTAAGAGAACATGCTTCCCAGAGTGTCCTGCAATTGGTGGGTGTTTCCTCTTTGGGGATCCACTCCACAATTCCCCAATAAATACACGGAGATTATTTTTTTCTTTCTTATGAATGCCTGGCCTTAGCTTGGCTTGTTTCTAGCTAGCTTTTCTAACTTAAATCACCCCATTTTTCCCTTTAACTGTGTTTTGTCTCTGGGCATTATTCTGTATGTCTTCCTTTCCTTCTTACTCCATGGCTGGCTGTGTGACTGGGTAGCTGCTGCCCCCTGGTGTCTTCCTCTCATCCTCCTTTATTCACTCTTCACTCTCTTCCCTAGATTTCTCCTCTTATTTATTCTTTCTGCCTGGCAGTCCCAACTACTTCTCTCTCTTGCCTCACTATTGGCCATGAAGCTCTTTATTAGACCAATTAGGTGTTTTAGGCAGGCAAAATAACACAGCTTTACAGAGTTAAGCAAATACAATATAAACGAATGCAACACATCTTTGTATCACTAAATATTCCACAGCACAAATAAATGCAATTAATACACCTTAAACTAATATTCCACAACAGTGTCACCTGGGTGATGTCATCTGTGAAGTAGTCACAGCTACATTTCCCAGGCTGTAAGTGGTGAAATCAGAGCTTAGAATTGGAAAGCGACAAACAATGCTGCTCTGAACATAGTTGAGCACATGTCCTTGTGGCACGACTGAGCATCCTTTGGATATATACCCCAAAGTGGTATTGCTGGGTCTTGAGGAATGTTCTTCCCTAATTTTCTGAGAAATCGCCTATAGATCTAATCTACATGGGAAGTAGAAAAAGACAAGATCTCCTGAGTAAATTGGGAGCATGGGGACCTTGAGTGAAGGCTGAAGATAACCATGGAGTAAGAAGGAAAGAAAGACATACAGAGAGATGCCCAGAGAGAAAGCCTAGTCAAAGAGAAAAATGGGATGATTAGTTAGAAAAGCTAGCTAGAATTAAGCCAAGCTAAGGCCAGGCATTCATAAGTAAGAAGGGGAGAGGCAGGGACGGGAGCAAAGAAAAATGTGGAGTTCAATAAAAATCAATAAAAAAAATAAAATGTATTATTTTACCATGGTTATCTGCCTTACCGTGGTTATCTGTCCTACATATTCAATGAAAATAATATAAATTTATTTTAAATACAGACAAGGATTGTACAAAGTCAATCTTACTCAGGAATATAAAGGAAAAATTAAAATGGTAAATTGAATAAAAAAGAACTGGAAAGTGTCTAATGTTCCACAAGAAGTGGTCGAGCCAAGGTGAGCATCTGCCTCTAGAGTCTGTGTTGCTCCATGTTGCTCTGTGGTCTGATCGACACTCAGGAGGAATGATCACTGTTATTAAGGAAACCATGGTCTTGCCCTGCTAGACTTTTGAAAGGAAGATCCAGACGCGTGTTTGAATGACCCGTAACTTGGTCGGTTTTCAGTGACATTGTTTCTCTCTTCTCCCAGGACATGGTGACGCAGGCCTCCCCATACCTGTTCAAAGCTACGGGGAAAAGATTTTATTTCAAAGATGTTGCCATTTTAATTCCTGAAAGCTGGAAGACAAAACCTGATTATGAGAGGCCAAAACTCGAAACCATCAAAAATGTGAGAACAAGCTCTCTTTGGCTGATTTTCTTCAGCAGTTTAGCTTTTGTTTCCGTTTCTTTGTTGGAGGTGAAGTAGTGTAGAATGAAATGGGGTTACACCCGAGTCCCCCAGCTGTGAGCGATGGCAGTCTGTGTGCTGAAACGGCGTGGCCATCTTTTCCTACATTCCAGGCCGATGTCCTGGTGTCAGCAACCAGCCCTGTGGGTGAGGACCAGCCACACACTGAGCACGTGGGAGCATGCGGAGAGAAGGGGCTCAGGATTCACCTCACTCCCAACTTCTTAGCAGGAAAGAAGCTGAAAGAGTACGGACCACAAGGTATGGGCTCAGCTAAAGTGTTCCAGCAAATGCCGTAACACACTGGTTGTGTATTAACTACTGTGTTCTCTTTCTGTGTAATGACAAGTACGTAAGGAAGAAAGCCAGTGAAGCAAGCTTTTTCGTTTAAAACAAGGAGCCAGGGCTAGGTATTTCTGAGCTATACTTTAACAAAGACTTTTGTACTTGCAGATGTGTGGCACTTTGGCAACTTTATGAATTACTATAGTGCCAGGTTATTACAATAAAACCGTTTGGCACAAAGCATTAGACATCTATGGATCTATGGGCTTCTTGGGACTGGATTAAATCTCCTTCCTACAGTTCATAAGATAGCCACCAGATGGTGACAGCACACTCAGGCTCAATTGATTTGCAGTCCTGACTCAGCTGAATTTGAGTCTTGATTCTGTAGGACTCAGGAGAGGCTCAGATTCCGATTTTTTAACAAGTTTCCAGGTAGTGCTGCACAGGGTACCACACTCTAGGTAGCAGACAGAATTGTTTTGCTGTCATCTCTCAAAAGACTCTGTGTGTGTGTGTGTGTGTGTGTGTGTGTGTGTGTGTGTGTGCGTGCTGCACACCAGTAATCCCAGGACAGTTGAGCCAGAAGGATCCTGAGTTTCAGTTAGCCTGGGCTACATAAGAAGACCCTTAAAAGGAAGGAACAACTAAGTTCAATCCTTACAAAAATACACTCTATCATATCAATATGAGCTATATAGAGCAATCTTGGAAGGAAATAGTCAAAGTGTGGCTAGTTATTGAATAACTAGTATTCTTGAATAACTAGTGTTGAAATAATATGATCTATAAAAGACTGGACGCCTCCACTACCAGCTTGGTTTGCTTAACCTAGGCAAGGCCGAGGAAAAGGAAAAGCCGTGGTGCTGTGTGCCGCATGCCTCAGCCCCCACACATTACACACTGAGTAGCAAGGTCTGAACTTTGCCCCTTTGTTCTACACTCTTCCACTTCATTCCCACAACTGGCACAGAAGATCCCTGACCTGTGACTCAATAAGTGTATGTTGAACTCACTGGTCTAACTACGCTGCTCCAGTCCCGCGCTCACGATAGCTGTCACAACTGTGTGTCACACCCTCCCTTTAAATCACTTATTTATGTATCTTGACCCCAGGTCTTTGCTCTCAAAATCTTCTGCTACCTTGACAGTCGTTTCCCTTCCAGAACTTAGAAGAAAATCCAGTGCAAAGCCTTAGACCCGAGCAGGGATTGGAGTTCCTTGGCACGCCCCTCCCACCGAGCTCTCCAGACTCAGCCCTCCTGAAAGATGTTCACAAGTCACTAAGAGTCATCAGATAAAACAGATAGTTAATGGTGCTAAATCATCTCTAGATATGATGTGCCCAGATACGACAGGAGGGAAATCATATTGTCTGTCTTCACGGAGATAAGCTATGATGACAGTAAGATGGGGTATGATAAAACTGAAAAAGAGGGGTGTCTGGTTCACTCTGAGCATGTCAGGGTGGCAGCTGGGAACTGGAGCTCAATATGTTTTTCTTAATGCTTTGGCAACAGACTCTCAAAAGTGTTGCCGAGGCAGGACTTGAACTAATGATCCTTCTGCTTCAGCCTCTTGAATAGCTAGGATTACGGGCACTTGCCACCAGGCCTAGACGGAAGCTTGGCTTTCAGAGAAGAGCAGTAATTACCGCTGCAGAGACAGTGAGAGATGCCAACTAGAGAAGGCAGGTGTCCCACAAACCAGAGGTGAACAAGAGGATGATGTGGCCCAGAGCAAAATCCCCAGAGATGTGCTGATTCTGGAGCACAGAGGCGAACAGCTGGGGTTACCGAGTACTCACACGCTGTGCAAAGGACTTAACCCTTGTACCGCAAGGCATTTTCTCTCTTACCCTGCATGTCCTCCCTAAGACCACACACTGTGGGTGAGGCAGCTGCCTGACCGGGGGAATAACCTCCCGGCTCTCAATCATCAAACACACAACAAGCCAAAAATAAATCTGTGTATTCCACATAGCTGCATACTTCTCACATTGGGTCATGGTAAGGGAAGCAAGCTCCTCATTTTATTATTTAGGGATAAATAATAAAGCCAAGCAAAGCAAGCATTTAGAAGAATTATTTTCTAGTGTGAGGTTATTTTACCCCGTTTTCTATCTTTAGCTGTCTGATTTGCTTTCCTCTCAGAGAGGGCATTTGTCCACGAGTGGGCTCATCTGCGATGGGGAGTGTTTGATGAATACAACAATGAAGAGAAATTCTACCAATCCAAAGGAAAAGCTGAAGCAGTAAGGTATGGATATTTTGACTTTACCTACACAATTTTAAAGCGCAACCAACTTCTCCTTGAATTACTTTAAAAACACCAGTTTTCGATCCTCTATCAAGTGGTTCTGCTAACTGAGTTCCTGCTTTGTAAGTCATGGCGATAGCCAGGTTGCCATGTACCTCTGCCTGTGATCTCTGTCGCACAAACCACGGCAGGAGTCACTTTGCTGACGTGACCATGTGTCGGTTTGACTACTCAAACCTCAGCCAATGGGCACCATTCCAAACTTGTCTGTTGTTCCCACTTCTCCTTTCTAAGCTTCCACACCATTAAGTACTTCGGCCTTCCTTAAGAGCAAGGCTGATATGTGTGCATTGTTTTCTGAGATCTAAAATATTTATCAACTTATTCTCCCTTCAATGGCTACAGAGCACATTAGCCTACATGATGGCCATGCCCTCTTCATAAACTTTATCAAGTTAGACATTTAATCCCAGTGCTCGGGAGGCAGAAGCAAGTGGATTCCTGTGAGTTCAAGGCCAGTCTGGTCTACAAAATGAGTTCCAGGACAGTTAGAGCTGTTATACAGAGAACCCCTGTCAAAAAAAAAGCAAGCCTATCTTTATCTAAACATATTAATAATATTCCTTGTCCCTTGTCTTCCAAACAAACATTTAAAGTTTGTGTAGGCCCAGAACTAATCCAAGCATGATAGCTGTCCAGAAGTTACTCTTTTCATATATTCCAGAATATTTATGTGACCCAACAGTACTATATTTAACGGAGAAATGGTAGGGACAGTCCCAGCAAGACAGCAAAGGTGGCCTTTATGATCACAGTTGTCTCGGTTTATTCAGGAAGTTGTATCCGATTCAGTAGCACACAAAACGGAGGCAGTACAAAACAAGGCCACCAGAGAGGAAGACAGAAGATGACAAATGAGTGCTCTACCTAGTAAACCCAAGAGAGTAACGTGAATGGTTCAGACTGTCGAGGACACGATACAAAGGGAATGCTCCAAGTGCTCTTCCATGTGTTAGCAATAGCGCATCCAAAAATATGGTAAAATATAGTGGAAAAGTGCTGCACTGAAGACAGCAACTCAATGGAAAGCACAGTAAGAAATGCTCCAGATGAATTTGAAGGAAACTACAAAATAGTTCTAAATGAAAAGAAAGGCAGAGAGGATTTCAATACATGAAATGTATAAATTCAACAAAAATGATTTATTAATTTCATGAAATTCTAGTAAAAAATTGTATCCTATTCAAAGAGTCTAGCACTCATTCAGTGAGATTATTTCTGAAAAAGGATTGGAATAAAGGAACCTTTATTTGCCAATTTTTAAATACACTTCAAGACTGAACTAAATATAATAATGTATATCGACAGAAATTTATAAACATAGTAACTTAACAGAGTTTGAAAAACAGATAAGAAGAGGTAAAATTTATTAAGATATAAAGAAAATTTCTAGCTATGGAAAAACTAACAGAATCTCTTAAATTGGATAAACTTGTCAAATTGAAAAGCATACAATACAAATTATACATACCTATGTATTAAAGTCCACAAATGTAAATTATTAATATTAATACATAACAAGTTAATAAATATTAAGATTATATCTTCATGTAGTAAAAATCTTTCTATGTGTTCATGTCTCTATGTAGTGAAAGCTTTTCTGTGCACTTAAGAATTAAAATAATAGATGGTTGCAGTGATATGCGACTATAATTTCAGCACTCAGGAGGCTGAGGCAAAAGGATATGAATTCAAGGCCAGCCTGGTCTACACAGCAAAGCCCTGCCTCAAATAAACAAATCTAGAGAAAGGCATAACTAAAGAATGAGGTAAAAGATGTAATTGCTCATATTTTTTTTTGTTTTACATGAACTAAATAGGGTGAATAGGGAAACAGAAAAAAAGAAATATGCTCACTAAAGCAAAATAATTCAAGCTTTTAGACCCTAGCACTGACTGTGGAACCCTAAGAACATTCGGAGCAGGTGTGAAGGCTGTAATCACAGCATGCCGGAGCTGGGAGCAGGAGGGCGAGGGTTCAAAGCCATGGTCAGCTACAAAGTCAGTATGAGACAAGCCTGGGACAAGAGTCTTTGTCTAAGAGGAAGGGGAAAAAACAAAACAAAGAAAAATACTGAAAATGAGCGAAACACCAAAAGAAGAATATGTAACGAAAAGAAGATATAACATATATCAGAGCTCTCATTCTTCCCCATTTCTCAAGCAACTAATTTCACGTTTAAAATCCATTTTAAGTAAATGATAAACAAGCCATATCAACAGATTTCTAAAATATAGTCAAAATTTCATGTGCTTATTTTTACACATTTTATTTTGGATATTGAAAAATTAACAGAAAAAGTAAATTTAATAAGTTAGGGTGGATTCATATAATGCCAAAAGAGAAAAAAATCAATAAAACTACATTATGTAAGAATGTGTTACATATCTATGTATTAAGATTTTAAATATGCCACCTCAATAAGTTCATAAATCAGAACACAATGCACTGTTGTGCTGACACTCAGAAAATCTTTCAGCCAGCAGCCATTTATTTCTGATGACAAAACATGTTTTTCTCTTCTCTTTATTTTTTATGAGTGTTCAAATATTCTTTTATGCTTTTATGTTTTTATTATTTTATATACTCAAATCTGTAATTTTAAAATAACGCATAGGGGAAAGCATTCAATTTCTAATAGACCCCATAAACAAATAAGAAATTAAATGTCAATGAGCACACAATGGCTATACAAAAACTGTTTGGAATAAACAACTAGGACAAGTAAGTAGCACAGAGACGAGGTCAGCAAGTGCTGCGGGGACGCTAAGAGGACTCTCGATGTTTTAGCATGAGGAGACAGGCTTGGGGGAGCCTGAGGACTCTGGCCTAACTGGGGCTATCATGGCACTGTTCTTGAGGCTCCCCAGGTACTTTCCGGCCACTTAAATGTCTGGTGTAAACTTACTGGTTTTGTCATATGAAGATGTGTAATTTCAGGTGAGTTATGGACCCATCGCCTAAGCATGTAACCTTCATGTCTTTTCCAGATGTTCAGCAGCTATTACCGGGAAAAAAGTAGTTCGTTGGTGCCAGGGAGGCAGTTGTGTCGATAAAGGAACCTGCAGAATAGACAAATTAACCGGACTCTACGGAAAAGACTGTGTGTTCTTACCAGACAAACAACAAATTGAGAAGGCGTCCATAATGTACTCTCAAACTATTGATTCTGTAAGTGCTGTGTTCTTGCTCTCAGTGTTTCTATGAATTTAGAGAAGGCAGTTTGGTTTTGGTTTTGCCCAGGTGCTCTAAGGGAGAATCAAGTTTTAGAGAGACGACCAGCTTGAGGGGGAAATCGATTCTCTCTAGGATAATCTTATTGCAGAAAACAGACCTACAGAACTCCTGCTGTGTGTCACACAGAGTCAAATTTTGAGAAAGAGAAATTAACGTGACGTGGTTCAATTGCAAAGGAGTCTGTTGACATCTATCCATCTGTCCATTGCACTGTAAGACCACAGAAGACCGAAGGACAGACATTCTCTAGGAGGATAGAAGATGAGGGAAAGGCTTAGGGAGTAAAAGGAGGCAGGTTCAAGAAGCAGGAGATAGCTGGGCAGTGGTGGCGCACGCTTTTAATCCCAGCACTCGGGAGGCAGAGGCAGTGGATCTCTGTGAGTTTGAGGCCAGCCTGGTCTACACGAGCTAGTTCCAGGACAGGTACCAAAAACTACAGAGAAACCCTGTCTCTAAAGTTAAAAAAAAAAAAGGTAGATGATAGAGAAGGCTCTCCTTGGTAAAGAATCAGGAGCAAAGGGATAGGGGTGAAGAAGCTTGGTTAGACTGAAGACCAACAGGATAAAGCAAGAAGGTGAGGAGTGAAGGGGGAAATCTACATTAGGTTTTGTGACTGTGTTTGGTGTGAGAAGCCACAAGACTTGAACAATAGTGAGCCACACAGAGGGTCTCGGAGGGCTACAGAGACACCACTCGGTGGTAAAGTGCCTGCTGGTGAAGCAGAGAGAACCTGAGTTCAGATCCCCAGAACCTATACAAAAGCCAAGAGGGCCAGCACTGAGAGATGTAGACAGGCACATCACTGAAGGGCAATGCCTGCCAGTTTCGTTAAATAGATAGATTTCACTGGGAAATCCTGTCTCAGAAAGTGAGGGTGGAGGGTGACTGAGGAAAGACACCTAGCATTGACCTCAGGCCTTCACATGAACAGGCTTGCATGTGCACCCACACACATATCTGTACACACAGTACACGAAGAACACCACATGTGATATAAATGTAAAAGTCTGATATATTAGAGTAAAGGGAAGAGTTCTCAAACACTGTGAGGAGAACAAACTGGAGAAACAGCCACGTGGAAAAGCCAGGTTAGTCAGGCTAAGGTGTAAAGGCAGGCCCACGAGGGCTCGTGACGGAGATTTCATTGAAATGGGGTTGGCGGAGGAGGATTATGAACGATTAGTAGGAAGAAACGTCCAGACCTTGGTTATTTTGCTGAGGGAGGAAAGCAGTAACTTCCTGATTCCTTGAACTGGGTGGCAGGGTTCTTTGCAGAGATGGTGAGGAAGCGCCAGCGGGAAGTGATGACGTCACCATAAAGGCAGGGCGTTTGAGAAAGCAGATCTCCAGGTAGGTTTTAAAGAGAGCTGGAATGACGCACGTTCAAGGTTGAATGCAGCATGCTGGTTAATGGGGTTCAGGAAGTAAAGAAGTAGAGTCCGGTTGTCTGAAGATGGAGAGATGATTGGACAGTGAGAGGAATACTACAAAGCGTGGTGTGCAAAGGGGCAATGTCGTGGGTAGAAAATCAGAAGAGTAAGGGAAGCCACCTTGGAGCAGGCGGGTTGTTCACTGAGGTCCGGGGAGACACTAAAGACTAGGGTGGAAATGGACTTCAAACTGATTTTCCCCGGGAGCGCCATGTGACATCGTGACACTGAGTCATGGCTATAAGGTAGCAGAGGAACCTAGGGGTGGGGACACACTGGGGTTTTTTGTTAGATATTTTAAACAAGTCTATTGATGTTATATGTACCATTCTTATTGGCAATTCTAGGTGGTTGAATTCTGTACAGAAAAAAATCACAACAAGGAAGCCCCAAATGCCCAGAACCAACGGTGCAATCTCCGCAGCACGTGGGAAGTTATCCAGGGCTCCGAGGACTTTCGGCAGAGCACGCCCATGACAACTCAGCCACCCACACCTACCTTCTCCCTGCTGCAGATTGGACAGAGAATTTTGTGTCTCGTTCTGGATAAGTCTGGGAGCATGACAGTACGTTCTCTGAGTCTTCCTTTGGGGGATGTGGGTCATTGGTGTGTGTGCGCGATACAATCCGGCCCACAATTTGGACTTGGTAGAGAGTAAACACAACAGGGGGCGCCAAAACCCAGCAACAGTTTTGTCACCAGAAATGCTGTCTTTGGCTGGAGCTAGAGCCCAGGTGATAAAGAGCTTGTCTTGCAAACACAAGGACGTGAGTTCAAGGCCCAAAACTTTCTTGTGGTCCAGCACTGGGTAGGTAGAGACAGGCAAAACCCTGTGGTTCTTAGACCAGTGAGCTCCAGGCGGTGAGAAGTGCAGAAGTGCACACACACACACACACACACACACAACACACACACACACACAGAGACACAGAGCTTACATTGCCTCATTCCACAGAGTCAGTATTAACTGTCCCCTTTGTCAAATAAAACCGATGTCAACTTATGAGCAAAGATCTGAATAATAAGCTTAATATTGTTCATATTTTACTAACACACATAGGTCTAGAGTTCCATATAAGCCTTACTTAGACCTATTACTAATGCTAATGCATTCTATTCCAGTGATTGCCTAATATAGTTTTTTTTTGTCTTTTGCTATTTATGCAAACACTCTAAAATTTTACCCAAAGTGGATGCTAGGCCCCATAAAAGGATACAACTTAATTACACTCTTACCCTGGGGCAGTCATTTCCAAATGCACTTTAGCCTGGTCTGCTGTTAGCCTGTTTGTGTAAGCGCCAACCTGACTCCTTTTATTTGCTTTCTCCTCAGAACGATGACCGCCTTAACCGTCTCAATCAGGCAAGCAAGCTTTTCCTGCTACAGACCGTGGAGCAGGGATCCTGGGTCGGGATGGTGACATTTGACAGCGCAGCCTACGTAAAAAGCGAACTCAAACAGATAAAAAGTGCTGCTGACAGAGACCTGCTGACCAAAAGCTTACCCACAGTATCTTCAGGAGGGACGTCCATATGCTCTGGGCTTCAAGCAGCGTTTACAGTAAGGCGTGTTCCGCTATGGCAGTTTGCCACGGTTTGGGATTTTTTTTGCTTCTGTGAAATTTTCATTTCTAGTGTTTCCATACAAGGTTGGTGTCATATGATTATGTGACCAAGGATAAAGCAATGGTCAGAGCACGCAAAAAATATAGACCTCCTACTCACTAATTCACTTCTTCATGCTTCCGTCCTTTTTTGCACGAGGCATTCAGGTTTTTCTGCATGCAGGCCACTACTCAAAAGATGTTTTGTGTGCTTCCTCTGCCCAGCTCTACTAGGTTACACATCCTCATACTCTATGGCAGAGCCACCTGCTCTTACCTGACGGTTCAACTCAGTTACCTTTATCTCCCTGAATCGAACCATGGAAACTCCATCCTACTCCACAACACACAGTAATTATGAAAAATTAGACAAAAGGATCCAAACTGAGCCATAGATATTACTTCCTAGTAACAGAAGCACTTTGGTTAGACCAAGGTTAAGACCACAGCTCTGAGACTCCTGGGCACTGGCTCTTTCCCATGCTCACAGTCTCAGTCCAACAGTCCACTCCCTTCTAAGACATAAAAGTCACCTTGTGTAGTGGCCTGCTGTCAGCACTCTGAGAACGCAGTGGGGAGAAGCCTCCTGTGCCTACACTTTCTCCTCCAGCCTTCTGGCCACACAATCTCATTCTGAGTTCTTCATCTGGAGAACAGGGGCCGCAGGACTTGACCTTGATTGTTTGTCCTGTATGCTGATCTCTCTCTATCATTTCAGTGATGTGGAGAGTCTGGTCTTCTTAAATGGATAAGAAGGGACTTTATTTCTTTCCATCATAATATTTTTTTAATATTGGCAGATGGACTGTCCTCTGTATCCTATTAAAAGTGTATCTAGGTTCACAACTGTAGGAAGCACTTTGGAGATAAGAGTGGGAGGGTCAAAAGGTCAAGGTCATCCTTGTCTACACAGGGAGCCTGATGCCTACGGCGAGACCCTGTTTCAAAAAGCAAACAAAAGGGGTGTGTGTGTGTGTGTGTGTGTGAGAGAGAGAGAGAGAGAGAGAGAGAGAGAGAGCAAAGTGTTTGCTTTAATCAGAAGGGATAGTGAAGGGTAACGACCTCTGTGATCTGGATAACACTGTCCAGTCAGAATCGATGGCACCAGCATACAGTTGATATTGTAAGATAGATAGTACAAATATAAAGTTACAATTTCCTTGGGTTCCACTATCCCTCAGCTGGTTGCTGAGGCTTACTGGAGGCATCTTGGAATCTCTTGAAGAGATCTTGGAGAGATCAATGAAGGAAACTCAAAACCCCTGTGTCTTTTCCCAGAACCCCCTGTCACCAGGGCTACCCTGCATGGCGCAGCCGTGCAGGCTAACAAGAAGTCACTGTTGACGTCCATGATGTTGAAGCGCTACCGCAGTGTCTCTGCAGGGCAGATGCTCCTCCAGTATTCCCAAAACCCTGCACATGTTCCCTCTGCAATTGCTCCTTCCTGTCCCGTGTAAATGCAGTTCCCACAAACCCCCTGCCCACCCCAAGCCTGATTCCCGCTCTTATTCGTGCCCTTAGGTGATTAAGAAGAAGTATCCAACCGATGGATCTGAAATCGTGCTGCTGACCGACGGCGAGGACAACACCATCGGCAGCTGCTTTGACCTGGTGAAGAAGAGTGGAGCCATCATCCACACAGTGGCCCTGGGCCCGGCTGCTGCTAAAGAGCTGGAGCAGCTGTCCACAATGACAGGTGAGGGGGGCTCTGCCGAGACCCACCAGTGTTTGCGCGGCAGACCCTGGGCTCCAGCGATCTGGGGAGTCCCGAAAAAAAGATAAGGAGACGTGGAGTTGTCTCAGCCAACAGCTACGCTTCTCCCAAATGGCCATTAGAAGTGGCCCCATCCATTCTCTTTAAGGTCTTGGTTTCAGGCCTAGGCCAAACTACAGAAAGTCTAACTGTTACACCTTAGTGACCACTCGGGGAGCCCTTCCCGGATACCTTATAAGTATTTGACTTTACCTGAGAAAGACAGGAAGGAGAAGGAGAAAGAAGGTGAAGAGCCAGTGAACAATGCAGAAGGCTAGGTCAATCACGCAGCACACAGGCAGTTTCTCCACAGAAGACCAGTGTGTTGTGTATCCAAGTCCCACGCACGAACGTGATTCAGAGAGGTCTCCTCTGACAATGGCTTCTTTAGCAGCAAAGGTGAACATTTTATTTAGGGATAGTATTAGAAACACAAATTATTACTGTTGGAGCTAATATATCTGCCCATGTTCCCTAGAAACAGGGCCTGAGATGGAAGGTTTGATACCTGTGATTATAGAAGAAGGGTTCTCAAAGGGAAAGAAATGAAGGACAGACAACACAAAACAGGCAAAAGAGGGAAACAGATTTACACTCTAGCCTCACTGCGGTCAAGGGACCTCAGGACCAGATACACGATACAAACTTGGTCCTCCCTTGAAATAAGAGGACTCCCCTTCGCATTGCTGTTAGATGCATTTTATTGTTAGAGCAGAGTAGACATAAGAATTATTTTTGTGTGTGTGTAGTGTGGTCCTGGTGTAAAGCAATCCCCTGGAGAATTGGTCATGGGTGGTTAAACCTTAGAGCTAGGCAAACTTGCACTTACCTGCAAGAGGACACAAGGGGACATCAGAAACACTCTAAAACACTGTCCCTAACTTTGGATGCTCTTTAATAGTTTAAAAGTGACTACCCAAGATGACTCCATGGGCAAAGGAGCTTGCTGCCAAGCTCACAACCTGAATTCAGTGTAGAGAACCAACTGCCACAAGCCGTCTTCTGACCCACACGCACATGGCGACACATGCACACACAAATACATCAATATAAAAAGTAGGAGCAGGTTCCTATCCCTCCTTTAGTTATCCTTATTCTCCATACCCAAACTTTCAGGGCTGGCGTATTATTTTTCTTTTCCACACATCCCAATTTTCTGTAACAGCCCTTTGGCCCCTGTTATTTCTTGATATTGTCACACATGTATCTTTCCTGATTTGAGATACAAGTTTAACACCCAGTTTGTTAGAATTGCATTTTAATAATGATAAGCCAATCAGAGGGGGGTCTATTGTTTAATAGACTCTCGTGTGGAAGCACATGGCCTTGAAGATGGGGATACTCTTGGGGATTTGTACAGATAGTTGAAGCAGCTTCATGATGCTGTTTCCGAAGCTATTCATTGCTGGGATTGAAAAGTCAGTATCAGTAGGGCATGGTGGTATAAACCTGTAGTCCCAGTGGTTGAGAGGTAGGGGTAGAAGGACCTGGAGTAAAGGTCGTTCTTGGATAAATAGTGAACTCGAAGCTGGCTTGAGCTATGAGAGACTATGTCTCGAACATACGAATACACACACACACATACACACATACTTATCAGTATTGACTTCTAGGTTAGTGTGTACATATATTTGATATTGATCTGTATTATCTTTCTTAACTATGGCTACAATATTGTAAATACCTGCTTCCTGAAATATAACTTGTGATAATGTAATTGCGTTTTAGGAGGTTTGCAGACGTATGCTTCTGATCAGGCTCAGAACAACGGCCTTGTTGATGCTTTCGCAGCCCTTTCGTCAGGAAATGGAGCTGTCTCTCAGCGCTCCATCCAGGTTGGGATTCTTACTATTTGGCTTCTCACGTCTGCTTATAATCACAGACGAGGCTGCTAGACACTTTGAGTTCTACACTCCTCTGGGCTTTAGTTAAAATGCAGTCTTAGCTTGCCATCCAAATACAACCTTACCTATTTAAATGTGGCTGTTGGAATTTACTTATTTTATAAGACAATGAAATAACCTATATGGCATGTCTAGTAATTCCTTATAAGCATTTGCTAACAAGCACGGGTTGGAATATGATTGACTTGTGTTGTCTTCAGAACAGATCATCTCTACATATTCTAGGACAGGTGTTCAGACCTGAATCACCCTATTTTTCCATTGCTCAAGTCCCTATGATTGGCCATGGTTTTCCCATTGCAGAGAGACAGCACTTTGCACTACAAAAACCCCATGCAGTTCATTCAGACTCCTGAGTCTTTACCCTGGGTCCAGCACGCCTTCAAACTTTCAACCAAAGTTTCAGTAGGCATGAAGTGGGAGGGGCCCAGCAAGGCCTGGATGACAGATTCCAAACAATAGGATTTGGAGCCAGCTGGTGTGCTGTGTCTGTAATCTAGGGAGACAGCAATGGCTCCTATGTTGGTTGTCATGCAGGAAATTTAAAAATAAACTCAAGGGCCGCCTTTTGCCAAGAAAGCAATGTGCCCCGGAAAAGGAATTCAGCAGTTGAGAAGCTCCCAGCCTTGTCTATGATTTTTTTTTTTACTCTGAGAAAGCAGGGAGGGAAACGGAAAGGTGAGCAGACTTGTCACCAAACCACCAGGAGAACAAGGGCCCGTTAACCTCCAGATCCATTCCTTGTGCATCCATGGGACCAGAAAACCTGGTTCCATGAAGACCTCGTCTAATAGGCACCACCTTAGACAGAAAAAATTACTGTGGAAGAGACAATTCTCACAATCCCGTTTTCCACCAGGACGTTGTTGCTCTTTTCCCACCCCAGCCCCTACCCTGCAGCAACTCCACTTTTTGGCAAACGGCAATCACCTGGTTCAGCGGTTTATTTCAGTCCCCTTCAGAAGGACTGCCATCTGCTTAACATAGTTACTTGTAAATTTTAACTTATATCCTCTATCCCTGGGTAATAAATGAGTACAGCCAGTTCCCCTCAGGGTTTAGTGCAGCAAGAGGTGGGATGTTTACACTAGTAAAGCAGAAGGCTGCGAGCATCAAAGGCCGCCCAGGGAGAAAGCTGCATCAGAGCGCATAGGAAAAGGGTGACCCCTGTGTCCCAAGAGACAGACAGCAGTGGAAGCTTCATGAAGAAAGTCACACTTGCATCCAATTCTGGAGGGTCAGTAAGACTCAGACAAGAAGAGAGAAAGTCCTGACGTCTAGGACAAGCTGAGAGTGTGACGCTTATGCTTTGTAAACCCTTAGAGGGAGGTGGTCTTTTTGGTGGAGAAAGAAGTATGGGAACTTGAAGGTAGAACAGTAATTTACAGCTGAGTCTTAAATGACCCTAAATACCAAACAAAGGACTCAAGGATGCCTACAGGCCATTTAACTGGCTCCTAGCAATGAGGACCTGGTACTAAGACCATGAGATGCATGTCGTATTGTCTGGGGAGTAAAGTGTCCGTCTTCTCAACAGCTGGAGAGCAAGGGAGCCAATCTCCAGAAGGGCCAGTGGATGAATGGCTCGGTGATTGTGGACAGCACAGTGGGGAAGGACACTTTATTTCTTGTCACCTGGACAACACAAGCTCCTCAAATTCTTCTCTGGGATCCCAGTGGGACGAAACAAGGTGGCTTTGTTGTGGACAAAGCCACCAAGATGGCCTACCTCCAAGTCCCAGGCACTGCCAAGGTATGAAGTCCACTTCCTTGCAGATTAGATTTTTTTTTTTTTACAAATGACTGTAGTTTTTTTTTTTAAAGAGTGAGTGTTGACTTTAGGAACACTAAATAAAAAATTCTTCATTCATTGAAGTCAGCCTGTTGGTTAAGTCAAGAGAGAGGAAATGGGTAATTGTATGTCCCCAAACGAAAGGGAAACAAACTACATATCAATCCAGATGACAAATGATCCTTGAGGCTTTGGGATTAAGAAAATGATTTCCTGTCCCTCAGAAACCCAGCCTTAGAAACTCCAGGTAGTAATCAGTGAGGGTGCGGCTTTTGGGCCTCATTATCCCTATCTGGGTTTGTCTTGACAACGGGAGCCACATAGTTGGTCCAAACACACTCAAGTGTGCCTCGACTGACAGAGTGTTAAGGACGCCCACATTTTTTTATACATGCTCCCAACACGCTTTGGTCACATAGGCATTTGTCGTTAAGTCTTTGTTCCTGACTGGAAATATCTGCATCTGTTTTGGTCAGGTGGGCCTTTGGAAATACAGCCTGCAAGCGAGCTCACAAACACTCACTTTGACCGTCACCTCCCGGGCTGCAAGTACCAAAGTGCCTCCAATTACAGTGACCCCAGTAGTGAATACGAACGCAGCGAGCTTCCCCAGCCCTGTAACGGTCTATGCAGCTCTTCGCCAAGGAGTCTCGCCAATTCTCAGGGCCAGCGTCACGGCCTTGATTGAATCTGTGAATGGAAAAACAGTGACCCTGGAGTTACTGGATAATGGGGCAGGTAACCATCAAAGAAAGTAGAAATTAATTCCTCTTCCAAAACACCACCATGAAACGGCTAACAGGCATGGTCTGCTGAGGACAGTTGGTACTAGGGCCTGGTGAAAGAGTTCTCAGCATCCTCATACATGCCATGTTCCCAAACACTGGGAAACATGAAGAGGTCCAGTTTGGGCCTCTCCAAAGCTAAAGTGCATTAACAGTTTGAATTCAGTAGTATTAGAGCCTGCACAGAACTGTCTGCCTTCCAAAGTAAGGGAAGGGAATAATAGTCATTTTCTGTCCATTGCCTCCTCAATCTGTATGCACGTATAAACATATATATATATATGTACATATACATATATATATATGTTTATTTTATATGCATATATAATCTTCATTGTTATGTTCACCACACACTTTTTAGGTATTACTATCCCTCCATTATTGATAAAGATATACTGTCACACTTTAATGAACAAAGATGAATTCCAGCAGAGTTCTAGATGATTCTTATATCCATGTGAACTTTGGTTAGGCTTGACCCCCAAGTATGAAATTCTGCCCACTTTCCTTGCATTTAAGAAATCTATAAAGAAGAAATACAATTCAGTATTTATTTTTTGGAATGTGTCTATTTATTCTGATAGAAGAATCTTTATTAGAATGAATTTTGTAAGTGTATTTCCTACTCAAACATCCTCTGGAGAGAAATTATGATTTTTTTTCTTCCCCATCATATATATAAAGCAATCTGATTTGACAGGACAGATAATTAGTGAGTTGATAGCTCATCCTACCAGTCATGACAGAGACATGTGAAATGACCTCTGATTTCAAAAGGAACAGACTTTTCAGGGTGAGAAGATTTACACAAAAGTCTATATACATGTAGACACATAGTATACAGAAGCGTCAGGCCTCATCCTATACATAATCAAGCCTCTGGTCTCTTGCTGATAATGCTCAGTTTCTCTGTTTGCAAAATCTGAATCCACATGCGAATTGGAAATACAGGTGTCAAGTTGCCTTTAGGGTATTCATGAATTCGTTCATCTCCTTGTCAAGGTGCTGATGCTACCAAGAATGATGGTGTCTACTCAAGATTTTTTACAGCTTTTGATACAAATGGTAGATACAGCATAAAAATATGGGCTCTGGGAGGAATTACAGCAGGCGGACAGAGAACATTACCTCAGAATGGAGTCATGTACATAGACGGCTGGATTGAAAATGGTAAGTGGTCTGCAGATGGACCAAAGACTTGGGTCTAGAAGAATCAGTAAGCCTTGAGGAAGAATAATGCAAGACGCCTCTTGGTTTCTGACTCTCACTCTACCTTATTGGTGTTTGGGGCTGGTGATCCTTTGTTCTGAGTACACTCTTACATCTTGTAAGATCCTTCTGCATCCCTGGAACCAAACAATCCACTAGATACCAGTAAAGGCCCCAACCCCAAGTTACTATATTCAAAAATGTCCCTAGTCATTTGCCATTGTCCTGTAAGAGAGGGCAAAATCCCCCCCCCATTTTATAACCAATTAGGCAAATCACAGCTTTTAATCACTTTGGCTTGAAATCATATCATCTACAAGACAAACTATGTCCTTCACTTTCTTCCACTGCAAAACAGACTCTTAGAGGGCAACCCCCTGAGCCCACATGTAACCAAGTGGGAAAAACACATCTTTAAGAAATAAGACCATACACAACACAGTGGGTTTCAAACGCTTGCTCAGGATCAGAGTGGATTAAGAGCAAGAGAGTCTAAAGGGTTTCACAATTTGCCTTCGTAATTAAAACCAACAACAACAACAAAAAGTCTTTAAACAAGTGGAACTTATGAGAAAGTAAATTCCGAATAATGTCATATTCTGCACAAAACACCTTCATTGGATGAGTTCTGAGAACTTAATTGACTGCATGAGCCATAGTAGTCTTTGAGGCACAGAATTTGTTTTATATAAGACTGTGAAACAAATTCCTTTGTGAATAAATTCCCAGGAATTGACTGAGACAATTGGGCTGGAAGTGGGTGGCATATACCTGCAATCTCAGCACTCCAGAAAGGGAGGCAGGAAGATCATGAGTTTGAGACCAACCTGGGCTGTATAGTGAGACACTGCCTCTTTCAAAAGCATCAAGTGTTAGAACTCTTAACTCACAAACTATTTCATGAGAAATTGTAATCAAGCAAGAAAGATAAAGCACAAATATGGAGAATGTGAAAACAGGCAAAATTAAACAATCAAGGTAATTCTCCAAGACCAAGGAGATTAAGTGCAAAGTAAATGAGAGTGACTATGGCCCTCACAATATTAGAAAAGTGATAAGCGACTTCTTAAGACAATAGCAGAGATGGTATTTAATCTGACCTTATAGAAGACAGGAACTTGAGAGGCTGGTGACATAGCTCAGTGAATAACAGAGCTTGTTGCCAAGTCCAACACCTGGAATTCTACTCCCGGTACCCCTGTGTGGGAGGAGAGAATCCACTCCTGCAGTTTGTCCTCTGAATAAAAATTTTTAATTAAAGACAAAAAATGAGAGAATATATTTAATTCCAGGGCAAATGTTAGAAAAATTAATTGCAGGGTTTTTTTTTTCGTATTACAATCAGGAAACACCTGTTAGGTAGAGAAATGAAGACCTAACTTTGCTCATTCCCTTCTTATGCAAAAGGATTTGGTGTCTTGTCGCCAAACTTTAAAGTGGATTTTGTGGGTGGGAGGAGAGAAGGAGAAAAGTAAGAAACAGGAAGAAAGAAAGATCCAGTAAGAAACAGGAAGGCTTGCCTTTCAGCAGCGTTGCCCTTTATATTTAACACAGGTGAAGTAAAATTCAATCCTCCACGTCCTGAAACTAATAATGTCCAAGACAAGCAACTGTGCTTCACTAGGACATCTTCCGGGGGATCATTCATGGCCTCTAAGGTCCCCTCGGCTCCCATACCTGACCTCTTTCCACCTTGCCGAGTCACCGACCTAAAGGCTAGCATCCAGGGGCACAAGCTCGTGAATCTGACTTGGACTGCTCCCGGGGATGACTACGACAATGGGAGAGGTAAGATGCTGTGGTACAGACCCTGAAGATGAGTTTATCAACCAACCAGAGGCACAGTAGAGGTTGTGTTGAAGGCAGGAGGAGACAGAGGAAGGGGATCTCGAATGGCTTCTAAAATTAAAATTAAAGATTTAAAAAGTCCAAGAAGCTTACCTACTTAAGGAATGAGATATTTTATCTCAGAAAAGAAAACCTTGGTATTTTGTTTTTTTGGTTTAGGCTTTGGTTTTGGTTTTGTTTTTAGCTGCTGACAGATGAGGTTTTGCTGTGTTTCTAGAGAAGGGTTATGAATACAGACGGCCATAAACATCTCCGGAAGAATTCTCCCACGCTACCAGACTTTGGCTCTCAAAATATCAGAATAGAAATTAGGTGTGGGATGGAGCCTAAGGTTCTCTGTTTCTAGCATGTGTTTATGAGATGTGTGGGCGACAGCCTGACCTAATTAACTAAATCTTTGTTTTAAGAACATCTGAGCACGTTAACATTCAAGAACCACTAGCACCAAAACCACCCTTCTTCAGCCAAGCCCTGTGCTCAGGGGCTTTAGGCAATCACTCAGCAGCTTTATAGTCCACTTTGTTAAGAGTAACAAAGGCACACAGAAGATGACAATCTTTGTGAATACGGTCTAGTTATGGTAACTTCATGAGGTGATGACGTAATCCCTAACAGGTTTTTAAAGCTCAAGATTTGAAAATTACAAGTCGCAGCCTCTCTCACTCCTCTCTCTCCCTCCCTCTCCCACCCCCATCTCTCTATCTCACATTTTAGCTTCCAGGTACATCATCCAAATAAGCACAAATATTGTTGATCTCAGAGACAAGTTCAATACCTCCGTCCAAGTGAACACTACCAACCTCATCCCCAAGGAGGCCAACTCTGAGGAAACTTTTGAGTTTGAGCTGGAAGATGGTAGTTTTGGAAATGGTACCGATATCTTCATTGCTATCCAGGCTGTGGATAAGTCCAACCTGAAATCAGAAATATCAAACATTGCACGGGTATCCCTGTTCATCCCCACTGAAGAGCAGTCCACCTCCAACGACACAGCGCCTCTCTGTCCTGATATTAGTATCAACAGCACTATCCCTGGAATCCACGTGCTGAAAATAATGTGGAAGTGGCTAGGGGAAATGCAGGTGACGCTGGGCTTGCACTGAATTTTCAGGAGATAAATAAATAAAGCATTTCTTGCATTGTAGAACTTTCTAAAATGGATTTTAGACTTCCTGTAGGGGGCAATATAGCAATATGGGAAGCTCAAACTCTGGATCCATGTGTATTAATAATTCTCCGCCCAAATTCTAAGGTTTAATCATTGTTCGATCTTTGGATGGTAATTTTTTTGAATGCTTGGAAGAACCAAATGTTGCTTTTACCAGTGGATTTTAGTTAGTCCTAAGGAACTTTGCCAGGTGAAAATAACATTCAGTTGCAGTTAGTTAATCTACTAACTAATAAAATGTCAGAAATGCCTAACCAAATTATTTAAATACAAAAGGTCTGGAACTAACATCACCAAGAATGTGTCTTCCTTTCTCTAGATTTGAGTAAAGATGGAACATTCGTGGAAGGGGGCACACTGTGGGAAGAAATCACACATTGGTAGTTCAATGAGTGTGGAAATGCAAGAGTCAGTGATGCTTAAAGCCACAGTGACGGGAAACAAGGAAGGGATGTAGATTCAGATCAAGTGATACAGAAATAAAAATATATTTTATAACTTTGTCCAAATGTTCTATTAACAGCCATCTTGGTTTTCTGTGGCTGTGAAAAGGCACCATGGCCAAGGCAACATATAGAAGAAGGCATTTAACTGTGGGCTTTCTTACAGTGTAAGCCGGTTAGTCTGTCATCACCACGATGTGGAGTGAGGCCATAGGACAGCAGGCATAACACTGGAGCAGTAGCTGAGAACTAAGTTGGAAGCAGAGTCTGGGTGGGGTAGGGTGGGGGACTGCACCTGGTGGGGGATTTTCAAACTTCAAATTCCAGCCCCAGCGAAACACCTCTCCCAGGAAGATCACACCTAATCCCTCCCAAAACAGTTCTACCAACAAGAGACCAAGCATTCAAATGTGTAAGCCTAAGGGGGCTGGTCCTCTTCAAACCACCACACCGACATACAAACATGAGCTTATTTAGCAGTATTCAATTAAATCCATGGGTGATTTCAGCTGTTAATAAAGCAGGCCACTCTACGTCCACCCAAAGTGTATTTCTTTACTTTCAGACCTTTCCTTGTTACAATTAGAATTTAAGAACAAGTTACAACAATTAAATCCACAGCAACAGTAAAAAAGCAGAGAGGAGATTTATTCAATGTGGGCATATCAGGAAGCAAACTGTCTAACACCCTCCCCTATTCCATATTCAAAGTGCTAAGGTGGGTTTAGTTTAAATAGGAGGTAAGAGGTGAGTAGTTAAGTAATCTGGGTCAAGGTCAAGCCCTTTCTATCACTGACCCAGGATTATCACTCATGCAAAGTGGTCTGCAAGTTGTCAGAACTGAGTTCCAGGACACAAGTCCTTCCTCCGGCTGGAACCGTGACCCCAGCCTTTTTCTTTTCTCAACTTGAGACTCTGGGAACTTCCGATTCTTTGGGGATTGTCTTAGTTAGGGTTAACATTGCTATGATGAAAGGCCATCAAGCATGGTGACCAAAGACATGACCAAAAAACAAGTTAGGGAGGGAAGAGTCCATTTGGCTTACACTTCCACAGTGGTATTCGTCATAGGAGGAACTCAAACAGGGCAGGAGCCTGGAGGCAGGAACTGATGCAGAAGCCAGGGAGGCGGCGCTGCTTAGTGGCTTGCTCCTCACAGGTAGCCTAACCTGCTTTCTTATAGACCCCCAGGACCGCCAGTCCAGGGATGGCACCACCCACAACAGGTTGGGCCCACCCCCATCCATCACTAACTTAAAAATTAACCTCCAGGTTTGCCTGCAGCTGGGTCTCATGGAGGCAAGAGAGGCTCCCTCTCTGCAATAGCCATAGCTTGTATCACGTTGACATCAAATTAGCCGGCACAAGGATCAGTTTCATAGTCTGATGGGCAAATGGAGGAAGGAAGCCAGAAGGGCATGTGATTCTCTTTAAATATCTTCATTCCTGCTGGGGCGGTTATGCTGTATACTAGTCGCCTGTCAGGGGTACTTGCAGATCCTTGCCAACTCAGTGAACAGAAGGTCAGGAGGCAACTCTCTTGAGCCAAGTGCGAATGGACACCAAGCCACATGCCGGGTGAGAGGGCCACCTTATGTTGCCGTGAACGAATATGTCTGAGGCCCCAGTTCAGCTCTCTAGAGCATGGCTGCCGTAAGACTTGCCTGGGAAATTTCTAAGAGATTGCTCACTGCAAGAATTTAGCTTTCCCCCCTCCATGTAATAATGTAGATCCATTTTGGGACAAGCTGCCCGATGATTCAGAGTTCATGCAAATGGCGTTCTTCTGTTGGACTCTGCTTTCTGTCTTAGCTATGTGCTGACATTCATCCCCTTTCTCCTCAGAAGTTAGCTCTTACCTGTCTATGAGGATCTCACTATTCCATAGTACATTCCATTCAGTTCACTCAAATGGAAATGGGCATAGAAAGGTGTGGACATGACCAGAGACATTTGCCTGGTTACCTAGGAAACAGAATGCTAATGAATCCCCCCTCTCCCCCTCCAGTTTATGTTTTGGTAAAAAGGCTGTTTTGGAGAATAAACAAGGAGGAAATTTCAGGATGTGAACTCGGGATTTCATGAGGGATCCCTGAGAATCTCCCTCCCGATAAAGCCATGGGAGTTGTCTCAGTTATTGCCCACATCTCCCTGGCTGGTCCAGAGAAATAATTTATGGTCCAGGCTGGCACCGGACCATGACACAATGGGTCCTTTGTCCTCTCAGTACACATAGCCAACTTTATTGCCCACTGTTCTACCTCTATGCCCTATAAACTTCTGCTTACCCCCTCGCCTCTCTCCTGTCTGCTTACTGTTGACAGTACTGTCCTAAGAGTCTGGGGAGAATTCCCCCAGATGGCAGGAAATTCCTGTGAGCTTGAGATCCAAAGAAAAGCTGTCTAGTTTGCACTTGGAGCCTGCATGGCGATTTTGTTTAAATGACCAAAGCTGTTCATACAAGCAAGTCTCCCTCTGAGCCTAGCAGTCTAAAAGCTAGATTTTGTTCTTTTAAGGTATTCTTAGAGGAAGGCTTTATTCCACTGAGGAAAAAAAGACTACCTCAGAGACGCTCCTAACTGAGCAACTTCATCCTGAGTGAGGGGGTCAGCCTGAGCAGGAGGTTCAAACTCCAGCTGGGGAAGGAGTCAGTACAGAAGAACCAGGAACTCAACAGAATTTCTAATCTCCTGTGCTAACACTCAGACTCACCCGTGGACACCTGGATAGCAGGTGGTGACCGTGAGCATTCTAGCCCAGCAAATCTCATTAGAGACAGAGGTCTGCCTGTCTCCACTGCAGAGGCCTTCATTCCTGTTTCTACACTTGGGATTGTCCCTTGGACTCTGTGCTATGATAAAGCCTCAAGAACTGCACTAGATTCCATAGCACCTAAAGCAAAAGAAGCTAATACCGTGCTCAAACGCCATCTAGCCCCGGTACAAGCTATGAGGGAGACACACGGGGAGGAGACTTAAACTACAATACTAGGCTCCAAGTGTGTTATATGTTAAACACACACACACACACACACACACACACACGGAGGAAACCTCTCCTATCTTAAATGGTCCCCATTTATGTTCAAATCCTGCTTTTAAAGCAGAAAATAGAGGGCAACAGAACTAAGGAAATATGTCTTCTGCCACTCCACAGAGTTCCACCATTTTTCTATACTCTCCCTATGTTCTCAGGTTACCAGGGACATAGAGGCCAGCCCTACAAGCCAGACAGAGAATGGAGCTTGCTACCAACCATCCACTGTGTTGTCCCTAGCATTCTCCTTAAGGAAAATTCATAGATGGGGACAGTTGGAGTACATGTTCCTTCTTCACTCACTGACCTTCAACAATGCAAGGAAGGCTAGGAAGCCTCTCTGAGGACACCCCAATTTACCTTTCATGGAAACACCTATACTCGCTGTACCCCGAGTAACAATAGATGATGGGGGGGGGTAACTAAAAAACATGCAGATGAACCAGTTTAGTCCAAGACCCTGAGGCCATCTGTTCATTTCCCAGGGCCTCCAAGTTCAGAAGTCACTGGCTGGAATTATAGCCACCCAGCATTAAACCATGGATTTCAGCGGGTTCATGACTGGGATACACATTATACTTAGAACCTGTCAACTCTGAAAAGGCAGAGAGGTCACTCAAGGAAAGGAGGGCCTTATCTTCTGGTGTGGGAGAATTGTCTGTATTCTGTCAATCATATTTTAATAAAACGCTGATTGGCCAAGCAGGCAGTATAGGCGAGAAAGCCAGACAGGAAGTAGGGGTGGAGCAAAGAGACTGGGAGTATTCTGGGACACAGGAAGCTCTCTCTCCATTCCTGTACAGATCACGGAAGAGGCAGCATGTAACTTGCCCAGCAGAGAAAGGTACGGAGCCATTATGGCTAACATAGATGAGAATAATGGGTTAATATAAGTTATAAGAGTTAACAAGAAGCCTGACCTAATGAGCCAATCAGCTTTATAGCTTATAGAGATCTCTGTGTGATTGATTTTCCTTGGGGCTTGCTGGTTTGTTGGGGTACCTGGCGGGACAGAAACCCCAACAAGCCGGCCCCATCATGTTACAATCTTCTAACAGGCCTTAGGCATTCTGTTGTTCATCCAGTACATTTTGTAAGTGTTCCTATTTGCACCATAACCTCTGTGCTAGCTGCCAACGGCACGAACGTGGGGACGGGGAAGCCATTAAGCTATCATCAGCACAAGTTGTCAAAGGTCTGTATTTTTCTGTGTCACCAAATGTATCTGCAGAATGACCTGGAAGGCCAGGTTCAGATGGGAAAGTCTTTTAATGCCATGCTGGCAAGGGGCAGCCCAGGACAAGATGGGCCACTGTTTGTGTTCTTTTCTCTCTATCCATCGTCCCCATATCCCAATGGGGCTTGATGGGGGAGGTTAGTTTTGATTTTGAGACAGCATCTAAATATACATATGTTACACACCACACACACCCACACACATACACACAGTAAACTGGCCTTAAATCCATGGAAATCCTCTGCCTCAACCCCTTACTGGCATGAAACATCATGCCTATCCTTGATGATAGTCCTGAATCATTTAAAGTTTTAATGTCACTTTTATTGATCCTTTTATACTTTTATCAAATACACACTATACTTTGATCATATCCGCTTATCATTACTGCCCCCCTACACTCTCTAGTGCCTTCCACACCACTGCCCCCCGAACCTCATGTCATTTAGTTTCCCGTTACTGATAACCCCCGAGTCCAGGTAGTGCTGCCCATATGCGCATGAGTGTGTGTCCACAGCCATGTTCTCAAAGGAGGTAAGAGTGTTTGATTTGTATGTGTACAATGTGCATTTCG